TGTGGCGAGGTGGTGGAGTGATGGGCTGCCCCATGAGCAGTTAGGGGTTCAGTGCTTTGAGCAATGATACCTCGGTCCAGGAGGTGAACTGACTCTACCAGTCCACACTCTACAGTGTGGCCCATGCTAGACTTGAAAAAACACCATTTGACCTGAACAGGATCAATAAAATATATGTTTAGTGTTCAGTATGGGAGCATAGTCCAAACAGCAGTTTCATAAAAAGTTACATGAATACCTTTTATGAGAGCATGCACATAACAGCTGAAGGGACCAGCTTTAAGACTGGACAACTGGACTGGTTTCTTCCTGATTAACCCTTTCCCACCACTGTTGGGCTGCAGGATTCTAGCAGTATGTAGAACATTCATAGACAACTGATATATTTATATAACTTTTAAAAGTGAGTGTGTAGTAATGTATGTATCAATATCCCCATTTATAAATGGTTTAGACTCTGAATTTTATTTTACTGTACTACATTAAACAAATCTGGATGTGACTGCAATTTTTTTGAATTTACACTTTATTGTTAAAGGGTATATCATTTCTAAATCTTGTGGGGCAGTAAAGTAAAGCCACACTGTAACACTATCTACCTGTCTACCTGTCTGTCTGTCTAGTTGACTTACCAACTAAATGCCACGTCTTCCTCTTGCCATAGTTGCCACAGCCAGGAGTTCGGTCAGACTCGTAACCAATGAGAGGCGTACAGATAGCATCAGCTATCTGCCCAACTAGCAGCAGCACACCTACAGCACAGGCACAATGAATTTAACATGTATTTAACATGGTAATATCAGATTTACATTGGATCAAGGCACATATTATTGAAGCTCTAGTTGTTCTAAATCCAATGGGAACAGGCATACAGCCATCTCTGTATCATACTATATTCTGTTGTTTTTTCACAAGGGGTTACTCATTTAATCCCATTGCAATACATTAAGGTCTGCACAATGGAAATACTGGATCAAGAAAAAGCAACAGATAAGCATTTTTCTTTATATTGTAACAGTTCAGAAAAAGTGTCTTTCAAGACATAAAGATCTGAAATTCTTAACCTATTGTTGAACACCCCTGGACTGAAAAAAAAGATTTAACCAAAATTTCAGGTTTGAATTGTACTTAGGCTCAGCTGGTGCATTTAAGTGCTGTAAAGGAAATAGTTCAATTCCACACCCATTAATGGGTTAAAACATTATAAGCAGGGTTACTGTATAGGACGCAGACATTGTCTAGATGTTAATACAATAATGTATAGATAGATAGATAGACAGACTAACCTGCATATTCGTTTTGGAACCCCAGCACTGAGTGGTAGAACACCAGTAGGTATGTGAACCACATGGAGGCACACAGGTCGTTGAGAAAGTGTCCCACCGCATAGCTGAGCCTCCTGAGGGCTGGCAGAGACCTCTGTGGGTCTGACATGATGGCTCGTGGGGGACTGTTTACACGACACGCGCCTTCATAAGCTACACTGACAGGGCTAAAATAAGTGCAACAAGTCAGCTAAAGTTTGACGAGTTTTCTCCACTTTGGGAGAAGTTGAACGAATAGAGCTGAATGACGACACACCTATTCTCGGTTCCCCTTTTCACATGTTCCTCCCTTTAAATATAATAAATATAATATATATGATATAATAATACTTATCGTCAGGTTTGTCCGTTCAGAAGGTTATATGTAGCTCCTGCGTGAGGTAGAACAAAAAGATACACCCTTCCATTTCGGTGTCAATTTCCTCTTGTAATCAGGTGACAGAGCTGTGTCAAAGCCAGGAGCAGGATCGAAAACCGAAACAGGATCGCACTAGGCGACAAAACGGGTTTCTACTACCGCATTTCTGCCCTTACATTACATTCAAATCAATAGCTAACGTTAGCTAATACAAATATGAAACGTCAGCGAGATGTTGTGTCTCAGCTTTCTGTCAGGTGTAACGTTAATTTAAGGATGTTGTTGAAAAACGGTTGAAAGCCCATTAAAAGTGACCTTAAGATTACACAGAAACCTCATGAATGCCCATTCTTCGTACGTGTAATGTTAAATCTACCACGGTACGTAAAGCAGCGAACAGCTCCATCGTTACCGTCCAGCTAACTGTCCACAAACGGAGAGCACATCTGGCCATGAAAATACAAACAGATGTAAACAACAACGCAGACCGGCTCTGATGATGTAGACAGAAAAAGCCAGAGGAATGCACCAATAGGAAAGCACTCGTGCTCCTCTCAGCCAATAGTGAAGCCTCTCGGGTTAAACTTCCTCACGTGACGGCAAGTGGGCAGCCAGTGTATATCCGGTACTCTGTCAGTGTGAGGCGCTGACAGACACTATATGTTTTAGTTTGTTTTTTTCTCTGAGTGCCCTTTTATCCATCTGATCGTATTACATATGATACATATATAATTCCCGCTTTAATCCGCTATGTAGGTTTTGTGAAACAGTCTCTAGGAAGAGCACCAGCTTTTAAAGCCAATCAGGCCAATAACTATAGTAACAGCTACCTCCACCAATCAGAGACGTCGCTGTTACACTTTAGGATTGTGGGTACTGTAGTACTCCTTCGTGAGATCGTTTTCTATACGGTCTTGTGGCTCCCTACAGACACATATACGAGACTAACACACAAAATAAAGTAAAGAGGAAAGCACATAAAGGGCTAGATCCTTTTTAACTCATATTCTTCTACTAAAAAGTTTATTGCATTTTTCTTTGTTAATAAAAAAAACCCACCAGGAAGTAATTTTTGTTGTTATCCATAAACAAATCCATGCACAATGAAAATATCAAGTTAAGAAACTTTTTAGCAGAGCTAGCCGTGTGTATCCAGCCAAAAGGCTTCAGAATAGATACATTGAAAAAATATAAAAAATAAAATAATATCCGTGGTTTCAGTTTCATCACAATATACACAATTATTGAATTGCAATTATCAAATCCAAATTTTTGTTTCATAACTTCACTGCACATGTGTGGCCACGCATTATTTTTTTTATCCAATGTCACCAGGGGGGCTCCGTACATATCGCTCCATTTGGGAGTTGGGGAAGATGTAGATGTAATATGATATATGATTAAATCATATTTAAGGCAAAACTGTTCATATGACAGGATAGAGCCACTGCCATGAACAAAGTAAATCACTGACCAAATGCCTTTCTTCATCCAGTGCTTGTTAAACAACGACTTGTTTTTAACTATGATATACCTATTATTCCATATTGGTGTGTTATGTGGGGTAACATTCAATTAAAAAGGATCTACTGGTGAAAAAGGAAACATTTAATCAGGTGTTTCTGAATAGTGAAATCACATTTAAGTAAAAATTGTATACCTCCTAATTCAATAATGTAGCAAGTCGAGCTACAGACTGGGTTCCCTCAGCACACAAGCAATCAC